CTTCATCCTCCTCCTTCTCCTCTTCCTCCTCATCCGCATCCTCCTCCTCCTCCTCACCCTCCTCCTCCTCCTCCTCCTCCTCCTCCTCCTCCTCCCCCTCCTCCTCCTCCTCCCCATCTTCCTCATCATCATCATCATCATCATCATCATCATCAGCATCATCAGCAGCAGCAGCAGAATCAGCATCATCATCAGCATCAGCAACATCAGCATCGTCATCATTACCACCACCATAATCATCATCATCAGCATCTTCATTAGCAACATCATCATCATCCTCATCATCATCATCATCAGCAGCATCAGTATCATCAGCAGCATCAATATCATCATCATCATCCTCATCATCATCATCATCATCATCATCATCATCATCATCATCATCAGCGTCATCATCATCATCATCAGCAGCAGCAGCCGAATCCTCCTCCTCCTCCTCCTCCTCCTCCTCAGCATCCTCCTCCTCATCCTCCTCATCCGCTTTTAATGTGTTCTCCTCCTCCTCCTCCTCATCCTCCTCCTCCGCCTCCTTCTCATCCTCCTCCTCCTCCTCCACCCTCCCTCCCTCCCTCCTTCCCTCCCTCCCTCCCTCCCTCCATCCATCCCTCCCTCTTTCCTCCCTCCTCCCTCCTCCTCCATCTCCCTCCTCCATCCGCCTCTTCCTCGTCCTCCTCCTCCTCCTCCTCCTCCTCCTCCTCCTCCTCATCCTCCTCCTCCTCCTCCTCCTCATCCTCTCTCCTCCTTCTCTCCTCCCTCCCTCCCTCCCTCCCTCCCTCCCTCCCTCCCTCCCTCCCTCCCTCCCTCTCTCCCCCGAGGAAAAAGAGGCAGGGAGGGATGACTACGACGATGATAGGTATGATGCTTCTGATGACTGCGACGATGACGACGATGATTGTGATTACGATGACGATGACGACGATGCTAGGTATGATGATGACGATGATGATAATGGTGGCGACGAAAACAATAATGATAGTGAAAATAACACGTTCAATGCTGATGGTGATGTTGATGATGCTGATGGTGGCGATGTTGATGGTAACGATGATGATGCTGCTGGTGATGCTGGTGGTGATGATGATGATCGGATGTGAATGATGATGTTGATGATGATGATGACGATGATGATGGTGGCGAAGATGGTGGTAGTGATGATGATTATAACACTGATGGTGATGGTGGTGGTGATGGTGATGGTGATGGTGATGGTGATGGTGATGGTGGTGATGCTGATGACGATGATGCTGATGAGGATGATGAAGAGGATGAGGATGAGGATGAGGATGAGGATGAGGATGAGGATGAGGATGGTGATGCTGCTGATACTTGTGATGTTGATGGTGATGGGATGGTGGTGGTGATGGTGACGATGCTGCCGATTGGAATGATGGCATGCGGGGCAGAGACAGGGAGAAGAGGGAGAGCGGATGAGGAGACGCATGGCGCCGCGGCTTCAAAACGAGGACCCAACACCACATGATGGCGTTGAGAAAAACGACAATGACGACGACGCCGACGACGCCGATGACTACGACGCCGAAGACGACAACGAAGACGACGACGACGACGACGACGAAGGCGACAACGACGACGACGCCGAAGACGGCGACGGCGACGACGACGTCGCCGCCGCCGCCGACGACGACGACACCGACGACGACGACGACACCGACGACGACGACGACAGCGTCGACGGCGGCGGGCGACGACGGCGACGACGATGACGACGACGACGGCGTCGAGGGCAGCGGCGGCGACGAGGGCGTCCAGACGGTCACCGAAGTCGCCTGGAGGCAACTCGCTCGGCTCCCAGGCTGCGTCCTCGGGTGGGAGGGGCGGCCGCCGCAAGCCGCGACCAGCCCGATCTCCTCGGGCCTCGTCGTCGGCATTGGCGTCGTCGTCGCCGCCGCCGCCGCTGGCGTCGTTGCGCCGTCGTCCTCGCCGCAAGTCTTTTTTTTCGGGGACCTGTCCTGAGCTGTCAGGGCTGTCAAAAACACAAGCCAGGATGGAAAGCCAGTGCGGGGGGGAAGGCCCCCAAGAGGCGCCCCAGGAGGCTCCCAAGAGGCTCCCAAGATGCCCCAGGAGGACCCCAAGAAGCTTTCCCTGGCTCGTCGTCATGTCTCCCTCTCTTCCTCCTCCTCCTCCTCCTCCTCCTCCTCCTCCTCCTCCTCCTCCTCCTCGTCCTCCTCCTCCTCCTCCTCCTCCTCCTCCTCCCCCCCCTCCCTCCCTCCCTCCCTCCCTCCCTCCCCCTCCCTCCTCCTCCTCCTCCTCCTCCCTCCTCCTCCTCCTCCTCCTCCTCCTCCTCCTCCTCCTCCTCCTCCTCCTCCTTATTCTCCTCCTCCTCCTCCTCCTCCTCCTCCTCCTCTCCTCCTCCTCCTCATTCTCCTCCTCCCCTTTCCCTTCTCATCCGCCCCATTCCTCTGCGTCCAGCAGCTGCACCTCCTGCCGGGACCGCAATGTCACCATGGGGCGCCGCGGCCGCCGGCCAGCCGAGGCGCTAGGCGCCCACGCGGCGCTGGCTGCGGAAGCAGTGTACTGCCATGGCCCAATCCACAGCAGTCCGCTCGACTCTTGTCTTGTACACTCCACCCTGCTCTGCACTCCGATCCTCAGCTGCACTCAAGCAGCGTAAGAACACGAATCCGTCATAAGAAATGCTACTGTCTCTACCAGGTCGCGTCGAACCGTGGGCATCTGCCAATGTGCTTTAATACCTGTTATGAACACAAGTCCACCTTACATGTGAGGCACACAAGTCAGCGCGCAGCTGCATCCGGCACCAGCACTCTTCTGCAAACCTGATCGGAGAAGAACGGGAAGCGCTGTTTTGTCCATTGAGCTCGAAGAAGGGAAATAAGAAAAGGACGATGGCGACGACAACCCAGCGGATGATGAGGATGACAGCGTGGATGACGGGGAGGGCAGCGAGGGAGCAGGAGGGCAACGAGATTGAAGACAAGCACGAGGACGAGGAGGAGATGAAGGAGGACGAATACGAGGATGAACGAAGCAGATTAGGAGGAGGAGGAGGAGGAGGAGAAGGAGGAGGACAACGACGACGAAGGAGGACGATAGGGAGCCCAAGGATAGGACGTCGAAGAAGGGGGGTCCTCGTGATTTTTTGAGGCTACCCTGGGCGCTGTTGGAGCCGTCTGGGGCTATCTTGGGGCATCCTTGGTGCATCCTTGGGACCTCTTTGGGGCCTGTCGGGGAGGCTCGAAGAGGCCAAAATCTGTGATATCTTATAGGTTTTGAAGGATGTTGGCATTTGCATCTTTGGATCGTTGGGGCTTTTTGACGGCCCGAGACGGCCCAAGAGGCCCCCAAGATCGCCCCGACATCGCCCAAGAGGCCTCCCAGATGGCCCCATGAAGGCGCAAGATGCCCTCAAGCTTGACCCAAGAGGGCCTCAAGACGGCCCGAGAGGCCTGCAAGACGCCCAAGATGGCCTCCAAGACGGCCCTGAAGCGCCCCAAGAAGGCAGCCGGCCCCGAGATCCCCTCAAGACTGCTTCCGACGGCGTCAGACGGGCCAGGAACGCCCTGAGACGGCCGAAGAGGCCCCCAAGAAGCCCCCAAAAAACCCCAAAGAACCCAAGGAGGCCCCCGAGAGGCTTCCAAGAGGCACAGGAAGCTCCCAGAAGGCCCCAAGAGTGCCCCAAGAGGCTGTCAAACGGCCACCTCATGCTCCTCCTCTCTCCTTTTGTCGCCCTCTCCTCCCATTCTTCTTTCTCCAACACATGTCCCCGAAGGGTTTCCACGACGGCTGGGGGAACACACAGTCCGATACCTTAGCCGAGCTCTGGCCACAACGTTTGGCCACACAGGCGCTTCCAAAGGCAGGGGGCGGCGGTGACTCGCCGTAGGCGTCTTCGACCATATTACACGATGAACAGCTGAATACAATGTAGGAGTCAATGTGGAAGCTGCGGATATGATGAGACGGATGCATCTATTGAGCAGCAATCGCCTACGGAGGGAACCCCTCTCGCAACTGTGTTTGCCCAACCGGAGGGGGGCGCGCACTCAGTCACACCTGCACGCCCCCACGACGCGCGGCACTCCACGCTTCACACGGGGGCACAAGGCCAGTCGTAATACGTCATGAATATATTGGTGGTCGCCGCGTTCCTCCCTCCTCCTCCTCGCTCCAGAGATCGCCCAACGGTTAAATGGCCCAAGAATCGCTGCAGGCGGCCTCCGGACGGCCCAAGGGGACGGCCCAAGAATGCCCCAAGAGAAGCTAGCAGGGCCCACAAGGGCCCCCACGAGGACTCGCGAGCGTCATCGTCATGGCCTTCGTCGTCGTCCCCCTTCAGAATCGGCTACACCGGCGGCAAGGCCTTTCCAATCTATAGGTGTGCGCCTCATTCCCCCATCCTCCTCCAGAAATTGCAAGAGGGTTCATTGAGCGAGCATACGGATGTGGAACACACAGCATACTGACGAATGCCCACAATCGTTCATCATCAATGCGTGTGTGTGTGTGTGTTTGTTTGTTTTGGTTTGTTTGTTTTTGTTTGTTTGTTTGTTTTGTGTCTGTGTGTCTGTACAACGGATGCTCGTATCCACGACGTGGGGCTGTAATGCCGGAGGCTAGTAGGCAGGTTTCGTCTTAACCGAGGCAAACAAAAAACGCTCACGACCTGCAGGGGAATCCCCGAGCAAAAAGCCTCGTCTCCGAACAACCGCGAAATCCGCATCTCACCCTCAGCGGGAGCCGGCAGAAAGATGGCAGAAGAAAAAACACAGACGGCTCCCTGGCTAGCGGAGAGCCCAGTGGGGGGTGGCGGAAGTGAGAGCTGACACCCCAGAAGAGATCAGCAAGGGTGTCCTGAGGGCTTCCAGAGCCAGCGATGTGGGGAACCGCCTGATGGATTCCGAGGCCCCAAATTTCTGGTCCAGTCGAAAGCCTCCCAAAGCGTGGGATAGGAGTCGACATATCCCCTGGTACCCCCCCCCGCACAGCAGCACTGCAAGAAGGCCCCGTGAATCAAGCAGCTACACCTGCTCGCGCTCGAGGAGCCCCCGGCGCCTGGGGCTGCGCCGGGTTCCGAGGCAAACGTAACGGCGCAACGTCCGCAGGTCGCAAGGAGGACTGCAGCACTCGCGAGGGGTCACGGAGGGCGAGAGGCGACACAGGGGGGCGGTGAGCTGGCTGCGTTTTCCCACGCCACGTTCGCGCAGCTTTGTGCAGGAGCCCTGCGTAGGATCCTTGGGCTTGTGGTGGACCCGCACGAGACTGCAGTCGAAGGTCTTGCCCGCCACTCCACACTTCTCGTGGCCGTGGTAATTCCAGATGCACCGGTCTAACTGATCTGCTTTGACATCCTCAGGAAGAATGCCCGCCTGGAGGAGGAGGAACATTGAAGAAGCGAGGAAGGAGGAAAGAGGATGGAAGAAGGACGAAAGAGGACGGAGGACGGAAGACAGTCAGAGGACGGGCATCGGAAGGAAGAGGGAAGAGTTCCTCCTTCAGGGACCAGTACGCCAGCGCGTTCGTAGTGGCTTTGTAGTAGAGCGTGTGCATAAAGCCCTGGCCGCACTCAGCACCGATGTACTTCGAGTCCGAGGGCCTGTAGCCACCCCCTGCCCACCCGTCGACCCGCGTGAAGGAGGAATTGCGCGCGAAGATCTCCGCCGCCCGCAGCATGCGCTCGTCTGGGCGCGTTGCGATCATGGCGAAATTCACAGGGGCCATCGTCCCACTGGTCGTGAGAAGCCGGCCAGTGGCGGCGCAGCGCAGGACGGGCGTCACGTCGCCTTGCAGCTCCACGTCGCCGTCCACGTACATGACGGCGTCGTAGCTGGCGAGGCCAAAAATGTGCAGGCGCATGAGGTCCATCGGCCCGCACCATCCCTTCTGCATGCCAGTGTGGAAGATCTCCCCGCTCCTCATTACCGGGACCCACGTCCCCGGAGGCAGGTCCCAGTCGACTGGGACCACCTGTATGCCCTTCGCCCTCAGGTCCTCCAGGACGCTCCGGCTCGTGCTATGCACGTGCCTGCGGAGCATGATCATGAGGATGTCGAATCCGTGCGCGCTGGCCTTTGGCTTCGAGGCGGCCCGGGGGGTCTGAACTGGTGGAAACGCCAGAGAGTCGGCCAGGAGGGGGCGATAAAGCCACATCCGCTCAAAACTCGGACCCCGGGCCCCTCCCGCGGGGTCCATCTGGTGCAAAGCTTTACCCCAGATCGGGTTTCCATGGTCCCGGGGCCCGGAAACGGCCGCCAGAGGCTGAAAAAACAAGCACCTTCCTGACCCCATAATCTCAGACCTGGCCGCCCTTCCTGCTGGCCCCAAGACGGCTCCTAGACGGGCCGCATCGGCACGGAGTCGAAATCGAATCGGATCAGCTGCACCAGGATGCACAACAGCGCCATGTAAGGCATCGGGCCGCCTCGGATCTCTGGGAAAACGAAATCGAATCGGATCGAATTGGCCGAACCTGGTATCGAATCGGGCCTGCTCCTTCATGGCGTCCAGGTTGCGGAGGTGGGCCGTGCCCTTCGGCGGGCGCCACTGCGCGAGCACCAGCGCGTAGCGGCCGCCCGGGGGGCCCTGCTCGGCGCACGCCGCCACGTCCAGGCACGCGCCGAAGTCGTCGCCGTCGACGCAGCACGCGTCGCAGCCGGCGAAGGGCTCCCCGCGCCTGGGCCTCGGCGCTCCCGCGCGCTGCTCTCGCCGCGGCACGGGGCAGGAGGGCGCCAACTGTGCACCTGCACCGATCTCGGCCAGGCCCATCCTGGACCCCGGATCGGCGTAGACGCCCTCCTGGCCCAGGCCAGGAGGGCATCATGCGCGAAGGTGCACAGGCCCCACCCCCAGATGGGATGGGTCCCAGGACTCACAGGTCCCCCCCCCCCCTGATGGGGTGGTGGGGGGGACGACGCCGCCGCCGCCGCCGCCGCCGCCGCCGCCGACGACGACGACGACGACGACGACGACGACCACCACCACCACGACGACGACGACGACGACGACTACCACGACCACGACCACGACCACGACCACGACCGCGACCGCGACCACGACCACGACCACGACCACGACCACGACGACGACGACGACGACCACGACGACGACGACCACGACGACCACGAACACGACCACGACCACGACGACGACCACGACCACGACCACGACGACGACGTAGACGACGACGACGACGACGACGACGACGACGACGACGACGACGACAGCGACGACGACGACCACGAACACGACAACGATCACGACCACGACCACGACCACGACGACGACGACGACGACGACGACGACGACGACGACGACGACCACGACCACGAACACGACCACGACGACGACGACGACGACCGCGACCACGACCACGACTACAACGACGACCACGACCCCGACCAAGACCACGATCGCGACCACGACCACGACCACGACGACGACGACGACGACCACGACGACGACGCCAACCACGACCACGAACACGACCACGACCACGACGACGACCACGATCACGACCACGCCACCGACGACGACGACGACGACCACGACCACGACCACGACCACGACCACGAACACGACCACGACCACGACCACGATCACGACCACGCCGACGACGACGACGACGACGACGAGAACGACGACGACGACGACGACGACGACGACGACGACGACGACGACGACGACGACGACCACGACCACGACCACGACCACGACGACAGGACCACGACCACGACCACGACCACGACACCCACGGCGCACGACACGACCACGAACACAATCACGACGACGGACCACGACCACGACCCGACACGACCGACCCGAACACGACGACCACGACCACGACGACACGACTCACGACCACGACACAACGCACGACACACCACGACCCCGACCACGACCACGACCACGACCGACCACGACCACGACACGACACGACTACGACCACGACCACGACGACGACGACGGACGCGACGGCGACGACACGACGACAGACACAACGACAACGACGACGAGACGACCGCGACGCCACGACCACGACCACGACCCCGCCCTACAACTACCGAACACGACCACGACCCACGACCACGACCGACCACGACCACGAACCACGACACGACACGACCACCGACCACGACACGACCACGACCACGACCACGACCTACGACCACGACCACGAACCACGACCACGGACACGACCACGACCACCACGGGACCACGACCACGACCACGACCATGACCACGACGACGACCACGACCACGACCACGACAACGACCACGACGACCACGACCACGTCCCGACGAGTACACGACCCGACCTCGACCCACGCCACGACGACCACGACCACGACCACGACCACGACCACGACCACGACCACGACCACGACCACGACCACGACCACGACCACGACCACGACCACGACCACGACACGACCCGACCGACCACGACCACGACCACGACCACGACCACGACCACAATCACGACGACGACCACGACCACGACCACGACTGCGACCACGACCACGACGACCACGACCACGACCACGACCACGACCACGACCACGACCACGACCACGACCACGACCACGACCACGACCACGACCACGACCACGACCACAACCACGACCACGACCACGACCACGACCACGACCACGACCACGACCACGACCACGACCACGACCACGACCACGACCACGACCACGACGACGACGACGACGACGACGACCACGACCACGACGACGACGACGACCACGACCACGACGACGACGACGACGACGACGACCACCACGACCACGACGACGACGACGACCACGACGACGACCACGACCACGACCACGCCCACCGAGCCATGACCACAGGGGGGGGGGAGCCATCTCGCGGGGGTGGGGCCCGAAGGTATCGGAGGAAGAGGGGACGGCCGAGCCCGAAGCCGGGACCACGGATCCTGGGCCCAGAATCGGCTCGGCCAGGATCGGTGCCGGTGCACAAGTGACGCCCTCCCCGACGGGGGGCGGCGGTGGCAGCGCGGCCTCCTGCGCAAGCCGCTGCCCCAGAGACTCGCGGAAAGGGTGCTGCGCCGGGAGCCCGGAGGCACAGCAACCGTCCTGGATGCGGCGGGGCTCCCTCTCTGCCCTCATGGATCGGGGGTAGCTAAAGGTGTCCCTGATGGCTGGCGATATTGAAGGGGCCCTGGGACACACAAATAAATAGACACAAATAACAGGATTCACCATATTTTCCTATATGACCTGGTTTTTCGTCATCACCCCCACTTCCCATTTTTTCCCATATTTTCCGGGGAGTCGACGATTAATTGTGTCTATATTTTGTCCCCTCCTGAGATATCCGAACCCTAACCCCACCAACCATCGATTCTCCTGAATCAATGGCAGGCGAGGGTAGGGTTCGGATTTCGCCGCGTGCTCGACGAATTCGGAACCCTACCCCCGCCGACCATCGAGTTGCCTGAATCGTTGACCAGCGAGGCCAAGGTTCGGATTTCGCCGCCGAAAGGTGTCCCCAGCTTTTCGCTCCAACTTAAAGACCCTGGGGCCCTCTGGGCCTCATGAGAGGTGCTCTGGAGGCTGTGGGGGTTCCTCGGAGATCCTGGGGACCTTGAAGCCTTGGGCCAGGGACACATCTGGCAACACCCGACTGGAGCAGTCCCCAGAGGCACTCCTCCTCCCCGGGCCTCTGATGACCCACGTCCACGACCCGCACCTCGGCTCCGACGCGCACAGGGCGCAGCAGCCCTCGGCGGTGCTCAGCCCCGGGATGATCAGGAAGGGGTCGCCCTCGTAGCGGTACCCGTCCTCCAGCAGGCCGCACGGCATATTGCCGTGGTCTACGTCGGGCCTGGCGAAGAAATCCTGTAGGGCGACGAGACCTGTACATATCCACTGCTCCTGGCCAGGCCCATCTTTGGCCCAGGAGCGGTGCCTACGCCCTCTTGGCTTGGCCACGGAGCCATACACGTCGCTCCTGAGCTCAGGATGGGCCTAGCCAGGGGGAGTGGATGTGTATAGTTCGTGTCGCCCGATCCTGCGGCGTTCGCAGCACACCGGCAGAAACGCCCGGATCGCCGGTGGCAGGCGGGTCCGTCGGGACACCGCCGCCGCCCTCGTGGCCCTCGCCAGCAGCGGCCGCTCGGTCGCCAGGCGGATCGCGGACGCTGGCGGGTTGCCAGTCGGGCTGGTCGCGAACGCCAGACTGGTCGCGGTCGCCATCAGCGGCCGCTCGGTCGCCGGGCTGGTTGCCGAACTGCACCAAAAAGTCGACGGGGGCGCTCTGCACCCGCGCCCACTCGAGTACACCGGCGAGCAGGCCTGTCAGGAGGAGCGACGCGAATATCAGGTGCAGCGGGGTTCGCCCATGCGCTCTGTGCGGGGCGGCCGCGGATACCATCGATCATGGTTCGGGGCACGTCACCAGAGCGCAGTGGCAATCAAAATTTGATTATGCTGACGCGAGCCCTTCTCATTCTCTTCCTCGTCCTCAGCCTCCTGCTCCTCCTCGTCCTCCTGCTGCCCATAGATTGCGGCGCATCCGAACAAAAAAAAACAGACACAAACATTTACAAAGTCGCGTTAACTCAGCCCTTGTGCGGGAGCTATGCAAGCACCGTGGGTGGTGAACAATACACCAATTATTCTAAGCACGCTAGAACCACGCGCGCGCGTCGCGCGATTAGGTTCTAGCAAGCTATGGCTCCTGTCTAAGATGTTCGGCAGCCGAAGTATTATAGTGCAACTTGTCCTTACAAAATGTTTCCATGTTCCTCTTGTGTTTCTGTTTGTGGTGTGCGTTTTCGCGTTCGGGCGCCGCCACATGCCGAGCGATCTGCTTCGATGCCCCGAGCGATTGCATTACCCCTGGAGAGCGCGCCCGAGCAAATGAGCACAATCATGCATTGTAGCAATACAAGTAACAGTAATAGCGAACTAGTGATACACGTTGACGTTGACCATGGACGCATTGCAACACTGAAAACACAGCTATCACGACCGATCTAGTTTACTGCTTTGGTTAGCTTTGGTTACTGCTACCACTGCGCATGTTTCACCACGCGCGTATAGGAATACGATGTTCTGGTGGGCACCCTTTTAAATCGTAAGTGGAGTGCGTGGGGCCCCCGCTCGAACTGAATGCGGGCGTGTCGCATGATCGCGGGAACTTGGAGTAGCACTGCGCAGGTTCTAGGACAGCGCATATTGCACACACGACAGAAGCACGGCTTTGGTTGTAGTAGTAGCAAAGCGGAGGAAGAAAGATGCTAGGATTGATTTCGGGGGCCATCGGCTGGTTCGGCCAGACCCCCACGCGAGGGTGCTCTGCGCGGAAGAAACAAAGGAAAGGGACGAGGGGAACGACGCGAGGACGACCTACACCCACGCGGGAAGGGAACTGGAATAGGATTTTTTGGGGAGGCAGCATCCCCTGAAAAGTAAGTGACACGACTCCGTGTGATCGCATTGCCCTGGCGTGTGTTCCCGAGCAGAGCGGCACCACGAAAATACTGACACGAGCGGCGCACTGCAACATTTTTGTAAATGACTGTGAGGGAATTATGGAAACGGAATCCCGCGCGAGCAGGAAAAACGTTCCAAGCGGACGTGCTCCGGCACGGAACACATGGCAAATACAAACACACCGCGCGCACGGCAGTCTTATGATGCTTGCACTACAACCAGAAAGCACGTGTGTTGGGCATGCACCGCGCACATCGGGTTGGAGCGAAGCATGTCCTCTAATGGAGCACTGCCCCTGTCAATGCCGATCCCGACACCATCTTAGCACTGTCAATAGTCAACCATCAACCGTAACAAGCATCGATAGCGACGCCAGGAGCGCAACCCACGTGTGGAATGTTGCGGTTGGTGCGTATGCGTATATAAACACATCTATACATACGTACACACCTACATACATGTATACATGTATACCTACATTCACACATACAAACACACATACATGCATACACACACACACATACATACATACATACATACATACATACATACATACATACATACATGCATGCATGCATGCATGCATGCATGCATGTATGCACACATGCATACATACAAACATACATAAAAGCATACATGCATGCAGACACACATACATGCATACATACGTACATGCATGCATGCATGCATACATACATACATACAGACATACATACATGCATGCATGCATGCATACATGCATGCATACATACATACATGCATGCATACGTACATACGTACATGCATGCATGCATACATACATGCAGACATACAGACATCCATACATACATGCATGCATGCATACATACATGCGTACATACATATATGCATATATATATATACATACATACCTACATACAGTCATGCATGCACGCATGCATACATACATGCTTACATACATACATATATACATGCATGCATGCATGCATACATACATGCAGACATGCATACATGCATACATCATGCCGTCATGCATACATGCATACGTGCACGCAAACATACAGACATACATAAATGCATGCATGCATGCATACATACATACATAAATGCATGAATGCATACATGCATACATACAGGCGTACATGCATGCATGCATACATAAATGCAGAAATACAGACAGACAGACATACATACATGTATGCATACATACATACATGCATGCATACATACATACATGCATACGTACATGCATGCATGCATACATACATGCAGGCATACAGACTGACATACATACATACACACATGCATACATACATACATGCATACATTCGTACATGCGTGCATGCATGCATACATTCAAACATACAGACAGACATACATACATACATGCATACATACATACACACATTCAAGCATACAGTCAGACATACAAATACACACACTTGCACGATCGTTGGATGTCAGACGGGGTTGGCCATTTAACATACAAGATTCTGCGCGTATCCAATACAAAACGTCGGACTGCGCCGCCCCCCGGATGACACATGGCGCTGCCGCGAACGATCACAACAATTTACGTCCGCAAGTGCGTCCTCCTCCTCCTTTTCATGTCGCACCGTTCGGACGATGCACCGTCGCAGATGTCGCCGTTGTGAGTGAGGGTCGTCGTCGCCGTCGTCGTCGCCGATTTCGTCGCGATGGTCGCGGTGATGGCCGTTGCTGCGGCCGTCGTCGTAGTCGTCGATGACGTCGTACTCGCGGTCGTCATCGTAGCCTTCGTCGTCGTCGTCGGTCGTCGTCTTCGTTGTCGTCGCCGTCGTCGCCGTCGTCGTCGACGTCGTCGTCGAAAGAATGGCGAGGAAAAGAAGAAAAGGAGCGTCACTTTGGATCGCTGGATTTCGAAAATCTGCTATACTCACCCTGGCGTCCTGAGACTACAACAAGACGAAGCGGCACACCTTACAATACGGAATCGGGGTGACATCGGCTCACTGCCCCGCGGAATCGGCCCCCAGGAGTGTCTAACCGCATTCAAACATATTTCCGGAATTCTTCCGGAGATATCCGGCCATAAACAAAATGCGCCAACGGCCCGATTTCCTCGGCGCAGCAATCGACATGGCCTCGCCATTTCGTCCCCGATTAAAGATAATTGTGCGTGCAATTGCCAGGGCAAGACCCTCTCAGCGCACCACGCGAGACCAGAGAGCAACAAATCCTTCAAAAAATGATGCCGTTGAACACCCGGTCGGTCCAAAAACCACCCGGCAGGCAGCAACACCAACAAAACGCGCGCTAACAAGCTGTGAAGCGAAAAGAAAAAGCAGGAAGAGGGGAGGGGAGGGGAGGGGAGGGGAGGAGGGAGGGGAGGGGGGAGGAGGGAGGGAAGAGCAGCAGAACACAACAACAGAGGAGAGCGAAGAGGACGAGAAGGAGCGGGAGGCCAGACGCGCAGCAGTTGAAAAAGTCCCTGCTGCGAACAAAGGACGGCGGAGGACAACAGCAGAAGACAGGGAAAGAGAAGAAGGGGAAAGGAGGGGGGCAAAGGGGGAGGAGGAAGAGAGAGGAGGAGGAGGAGGAGGAGGAGGAGGAGGAGGAGGAGGAGGAGGAGGAGGAGGGGCAGGGAGAACGGGAGAACAAGAACACCAGATCCAAAACGCCCGGATCTGTCACAAATCTTGCCAAGACACCGAGAATCAGAATCCCGGCCGCCAATCCCTACACAACCGTAAAGGGTGCGTCGCCAGCGCGACCCGTGGAGAAACGGACCGCTCCCACTCCGGAAAAGATATGCGCTCTCTGACAAACATTTGTAAACGCCTTTGATAGGACTGCACCGACCATGCACGAATGATATTCAAGTAGCAAACTATAAACACGCGTCGCTGCGGCAGATTGCAGCAAGAAATCAGGACTGGCGAAAGACGGCTCAACTACACGTCGCGCGTGCCGCGCGGCGCTCTCGGAGGAGTCCACACAGGAGAACCGAGAGAAACAAGCAGAACCAGAGCCCAAAAGCGCACGCTGCATGACCCCCAAAATGCTTATATCCCAGCAAGTGCTCAAAGGAGCCAGATTAAAGAGCAACAGTGCATCTTCTGGTGCGATTCCTACAGAAAGCAAGAAAAGTGCCTGGAAAAGGTGAAACGGGGCAAAAATACACATTCAAGCGCAGTAAATGGCACAGGCACGATACTCAACGCAAGACAACACAAGTGACAAGTTCTGCGTCATTATAAAAACGTCGTGTGCGCGTCAAACTGTATGTTCTCCAAAAGGCAGCAGCAACGCAACTTTCAAGCATCACCCATGCACAAATTAGCATCACATACAACGCTTAATATTTTAAAATTATCCCAAACGGACCGCCTCCGTGACAAAATGTGTAAATGCTCACTCTAAAGAAGACTGGCAACCACGGAAAAGCGCATTCGCCTCTACGTGCGCCGCGTCTGCCGGGAGTGCTCTCCAAGCGTTGCGAAGACATGCGGCACGTGCGGCATCATGCGGATCCGACAGCACCCCGCTCTTCAAATTGCGCAACTCAATCTGCTCTCGGGGCAGCACGGGCGCGCAACATTGTTCCAGACAGCATTATTGAGCAGGGTACTGTGCAACAGTTCCAGTCGCGCCTTCAAGACCTCGTCTGCTTCTTTGCGCGCAAAGACGCTACAGCTCGGCAGGCGCTTTTTCCAAATGGCGCCAAAAATTTACTTTCCACCCTCTTCTGGGTCACTGGGACTGGCGGCCGGCCTAAAACCATGTACTCTCTTGATGGCGGCTTCACTCTTGTAAAACAAAATGGTGAGGTGTCGTGCTGTCCGAGGGGTGATATATATATATATATAACATGTTCAATAATTAAAGAACATAACATCTCCCGCTCTTCCGCTCTTCCGCCACCCGCGACCGCCCTCATCTGCTCTTCCGCCGCGACGAGCGCCACGCGATCGCGAA